ATTATATATTATTTATATGTACAGAACACAAATGCAAGTAACACATTCATGAGTGTGGTATTCGGTTATTAGGACACTGGTGTCGAGGTCATTGTCTAGACTAGGAAATCAATAGATCATTAGTGGAGCAACTATAGTTAGCTGCTAGTACACTAGACCTAGTGTTCAAATGCACGCTCACTGACAAATAGGAACAGGGGAGACATTCTATTCAGTTTGCATTTAAAGGCAAACCTGCCTAATCCACAATTTCAGAACTAAAACACAGCCAACCTTCAAAATCCATTGCAAATTTTACAGTAGTTTTTCAGCCAAGTAACACATTACTAAAATATAACTGCTATGGCAAAGTGTGCATAAAATGCATATATTGGTGAAAGACAAAAATTCATTATACTAGGGGAAATGGTTTTGCGAAAATATGTTTATTCGGGTAAATTGATTTGGGAATTATGAGTAATGCAAACTGAAATACTGAGGAATTTTCAGGAGGATGTTTTTTTTTTTTTTATTAAATTGCAAACTGATGTGGAAATGGGAAGAATTGAACTTAAGGGGAAGTAATGAGAAACTGAGAGACAGATTCACCCATTCTTACTGCTAAACTTGCTAGATGGCTTCTATCTGAGTGGCAGCTTTCAAAAGCAACACAAAATTATATTTGGAGATGAAGGTGAAAATACAATCAACAAAAAGGAACAGCACCACATAACAATACAAAAAAGATAAATAAATGGGAGGAAAGGGAGAATCAGTTATTACAGTCATTATATTTTTGTTAATTACAATTATTTAAACAACGCTATTAAGGTGGGTGAATATATTCTGCATGTTGTAGATGGGCAGCTGAAAATAGGCTCCGAAGTTTTCACTTCGCAACTGACAAAGCGGGTTTGAGCCCATGAAGGTTTATGCCATAATAAAATTGTTAGTAAGGTCCATATAGTTAAAGCCATGGTTTTCCCAGTAGTGATGTATGGAAGTGAGAGCTGGACTATCAAGAAGGCTGATCGCCGAAGAATGGATGCTTTTGAATTATGGTGCTGGAGGAGACTCTTGAGAGTCCCATGGACTGCAAGAAGATCAAACCTATCCATTCTGAAGGAAATCAGCCCTGAGTGCTCCCTGGAAGGACAGATCGTGAAGCTGAGGCTCCAATACTTTGGCCACCTCATGAGAAGAGAAGACTCCCTGGAAAAGACCCTGATGTTGGGAAAGATGGAGGGCACAAGGAGAAGGGGGCGACAGAGGACGAGATGGTTGGACAGTGTTCTCGAAGCTACAAACATGAGCCTGACCAAACTGCGGGAGGCAGTGGAAGACAGAAGTGCCTGGCGTGCTCTGGTCCATGGGGTCATGAAGAGTCGGACACGACTAAACGACTAAACAACAACAACAAAATTGTTAGTTTTTAATATGAAGAATGCATTGGAAAAACACCAAGTGGCTTAATCTTGGTCATATTAGAAAGAAGGCTTCCTTCCAAAAAATGGAAGACTTGCTCAAATGAAGAGAACAAAAAGAAGCAGAAACCTTGGCAAAAAAAAGTGCAAGCAGACAGTAAGGGATGCTAAAAAAAAAGAAAAAAAAAAGGAATTTGAGGAGCACATGGCTAAAAACATTAAGAATGCAGCCATCACTTCTTGTATGTTGAATTTAACAGAATTTCTGAACACAAGTAGATGTCCCTTTCACTTGCTTATTTTGTTTTTAATTCTGAGAGCCAGTGTGGTGTAGTGGTTAAGAGCAGTGGACTCGTAATCTGGAGAACCGGGTTCGCGTCTCCGCTCCTCCACATGCAGCTGCTGGGTGACCTTGGGCTAGTCACACTTCTCTGAAGTCTCTCAGCCCCACTTACCTCACAGAGTGTTTGTTGTGGGGGAGGAAGGGAAAAGAGAATTTTAGCCGCTTTGAGACTCCTTCGGATAGTGATTGAGGAGATTTCACCCCTCCCATATCCAAGAATCTCCTGCTGATTCTCCAGAGAGGAGGAGGCGTGTTCTGCTCTCTACTTATTCTGCTCCAGCACCGAGTCAGTCAGTCAGTCAGTGTCGGAGAGAGAGAGAGAGACTTAGTGTTAGAGATCGTGTGTAGAGATAAAGGTTGCTGCTAAGAGCAGCTGCAGACACTCAGTGCAGTGCAGCATTTATTTATGCTTAGACCTATTAAGCTCTGTATATAGTTTGTATAGTTGTAGTTATAAAGAAGATATTCTACAGAGCTGCTCTCCGAGTTGTTTATATACTCTGCTAGACTCTGCTGTACTCTGCTGTGCGACGACTGTCTTCTTGTTGGAGTGAATCCGGTGCTCACAACTCTAAGCTGTGAGTCCACAGCACTTTGACCTGTTCCTGTACAGAAGGTGGTCTCTGGAAGTGCTACCCAGCTTGCCTAGCCCAGTCGGGGCTGAAGTGGATGAGTCCAGTTGGTGGCACTGGCTCAAGGGCGATGCTGACAGTGATAAAGCAGGATATCAAATCCAAACTCTTCTTATGTTAGCATACGGTTAGAGTGCATTGAAGTCAGTTGGGTGGCTAGCCATCGCTTTCATGTTCCTTGCTCATACAGTCACTGAATGCACGAGCAGTTTGTGTGAAAGGGTCTTTGATGACTTGCAGATGAATGTGTGAACTGACTCCACTGAAAAGCATTGCACTGGAACGCACAGGTTCTATTAGTGGTATTAGATATGTGGGGGCTCATTCACACAAGGAGATCCCCAGCTTGATGCTTCAATAAGCCAGCCCTCAAACCTGATAAAATAAAATTAATGGGGGGGGGGGATGGAGAATCACTTGGCTCTGTGAATTTGGGTCTGGTGCATTCTTTAGTCTTATAACTTTCCTTTTATCTTGATTTTGTAGGCTGCAATGAAATGCACTTAAAATGAATGCTCTCAAGGCTGTTGTTGACACAAGACTTTGTAAACACATGGACAAAAAATAAACCTTAAATAGACAATCACAGTGTATTAGGTGTAGAAGGTAAAGTGATATCAGCATTAGAAAGAACTATATCACAATACCATGTGTAAACATTAACAGGTGAACATTTCTTTGCGGGGGGCGGGGATGAAAATCAAAATTGTAAAATCAATGCAATGCAACTTCTTACTCAAGCTGAAGAAAATCTTTGCATTTAGTTCCCCCTTTTTGCGCAGCATTAGAGGAAAACCTTTTAAATCATACCTTCCATTAGTGGAAGATGCCTTCTGAATGTGGAAGTAAACAGCAGGATCCAACCCCATGTTGTTTGGATCTCATTTTAGTGCATGCAATTTCACTTTAACTGCATCTGCTGAATATATGCTAGAACCATCTGCTCTTTCAATCTGTGTAAAAATGAACGCAGGTGGAATGACGAGATCATAACCTGGCTCCTCTTTTCTGCCCTCCACAGCTTCATCCAAACCTTTGAAAAGGGCCTACTCGTGTACAACAACTGTGGTCCCCAACTGCACAGAGTTGACCTTATTTGTTACAATTTACTTATTTAATAGACTTTTCAAGCACTTTTTAGAACAAATTGCATCCCAAAGCAGTTTTCCAACAGTAAGGTAAAGGTAAAGGGACCCCTGACCGTTAGGTCCAGTCGTGGCTGACTCTGGGGTTGCGGCGCTCATCTCGCTTTATTGGCTGAGGGAGCCGGCGTACAGCTTCCGGGTCATGTGGCCAGCATGACTAAGCCGCTTCTGGTGAACCAGAGCAGCACACGGAAATGCCGTTTACCTTCCCGCCGGAGTGGTACTTATTTATCTACTTGCACTTTGAGGTGCTTTCGAACTGCTAGGTTGGCAGGAGCAGGGACCGAGCAACGGGAGCTCACCCCGTCACGGGGATTTGAACCGCTGATCTTCTGATCGGCAAGTCCTAGGCTCTGTGGTTTAACCCACAGCGCCACCCGCGTCCTGTTTCCAGCAGTACATGGCCATAAAAACCAACACTAAAGAAATGTTTTAAACAGCCAGTTCTGTTCAAAAATATACAGATCAGCCTTACGTATAATAAAAGGAAAAATTATCCAATTAGCTCTAAAACAGCATGCAAATGGTAGATCCTTGATTAGTCCTGTTTAAAAAGGCTGCTGTGTAAGGATGTGTCTTTATGGCATATATAAAATTAACAAGTGATGGGGCTTGCCTGATCATACTTACAATCAAGTACCATAATTGATGGGATGGGGTACATTTGATAAGGCCCTGTTTTGTTTGCCTGCCAATATCCATACAAGTTGAGTCTGGATGAATGTGTGAAGGACTGGGGTTGCTGGGTGGTGGAACAGTGGCAGGACCAGCCAAAGGTATTTTGCTGTCTGAGGCAGAGCAACAAATAGTGCCTCTCCTGCAAAACCAAGGTGTATAGTACTGAAGGCCAATCCAATTATTTTGGCACCCTAGCTAGAAACCCCACAAGCATTCCCCCCACCCCACGGCAGTAAAAATGCAATAATCATAGAAATAATAATTAATTTTCTGCTCTTCCTGATGCTTATCATCAGCTGCTGCCTCATTCTGTCTAATTGTAGGGCCGGCACTGAACACCGGGTGTTCATTGCTGCACAAGTGACACTTAGGAACAGTCCTTCTGATAGTTTGCTTTTAGCAGCTGGATTTTTGTCGGGTTTTGTTAACAGTCTGTTCTGGTGGGTGCACAGCTGTGCAAGTCCGTGTTTGTTCCAATACAGTTTCTATCTTCCCCTCTTTGGCTTCTTTGCTGAATGACGATGAGACTTTGGTTGTAATGATAAAATATTTACAGAAAACCCTTAAACAAGATTACTAGAGGAAAAGAAGTCTACTTATACACAGAATTTGGATTGTTCTCTGCAATTACATATGTTAGGAACTGCATGGGATGGGGGTTTGCCCAAAGATGGGAGTGCAAAAACAACTCTTTCTGATTTTAAAAAACCAACCAGACTAGTTATTAGAATTTTATTTTAAAAATGTAAATAAAACCAAGCAGGCTTTGTCACTGGCATTCTGTCTGCCAAAGTACAGTCTGGGTGAAGGCCATTTTTCCTGTGAGATGAGCTCCTGCCAAAGGTCTGAATGCCTAATGGATTGCTAGGCTCACTGCCCAGGCATACACTCAAACATAACGCCTTTATAATCTGCCACATTACTAATTCAGTGGGAGACAAATCCCCTACCTTCTCAACACATCATCCCTGACAGTAAGAAAACATGTGACATCACAGAAGACTGCCGCACCATCTATCCTTCAATGTGGCGGAGCTGGATAAGAACATTTCTTACATTCATCATAAGTGAACCAGGGGAAGGCTCTGCAGGCTGTATAATCAGTGTGCGGTAATTCTGGCATCTAACAAGAAGCTCTGTGTAAAAAGAGCTTGATGAGAAGATGACATTTGGGGAAGTGATCTTGCTCACCCCTTCTCATCTAAGAACCTTGGAAATCGAGGGCAGGAGGAATTCAGAGCAGAATGAGCATCTTAAAAAAAATGTGGTACAGAAGGAAACAAATGTGTGTACACACACCTTTTGAATCAGACACAGGGTCCACCTAGACTATTTTTCTTTTTTCTGTGTGATAAATGTGGGAATCCCACAAGCAAAGCATGAAGCCAAGAACCCTCCCTTGTTGTTTGTCCCCAGCATTGAGTATTCAGAGATAATAATAATAATAATAATAATAATAATAATAATAATAATAATTTATTATTTGTACCCCGCCCATCTGGCCGGGTTTCCCCAGCCACTCTGGGCAGCTTCCACAGAGACCAAAAATACACTAAAATGTCACACATTAAAAACTTCCCTGAACAGGGCTGCCTTAAGATGTCTTCTGAATGTCAGGTAGTTGTTTATCGCTTTGACATCTGATGGGAGGGCGTTCCACAGGGCGGGCGCCACTACCGAGAAGGCCCTCTGCCTGGTTCCCTGTAGCTTTGCTTCTCGCAATGAGGGAACCGCCAGAAGGCCCTCGGCGCTGGACCTCAGTGTCCGGGCAGAACGATGGGGGTGGAGATGCTCCTTCAGGTATACTGCCTGTCCAAATTTCTGCAATGGGAAAAGGAAGGATAGAATCAGGCCTTTTCCCCCCAGGGTGAACTCACAGGAACTCAGTTCTGGCACCTCTCAGGTGGGAGCCATGGCCATTCTTAATAGAACAAGGGAGGTGTTAACTGTGAATTCTGGCACCTCTTTTTCTAGAAAAATAGCACCGGATAGAATGGTCAACTTAAATGAAAGCATCTCCAGCAGAACAAAGTGTAGTGGAAAGCTGTCTTAAAGGCAAATCTGTGTACATGTGGCTCACCAAAATATCAAAGGTGGAGCTTAGGCATTGACTCTGGGCAGATTCACAATGAAGAGAATCTTCCTTTGAATTCCATGCCAAGTAGTACTGGACAGAAAGAAAGAAACCAGCAGGTTGTCTCTCAAATATCTAACACCCAAACACACCCACATCACATCTGACACTGCTTGGCAAAATTCCTAGATTTCCATCCTTTATCCTTTGGAAGTAGCTCACAAATGCTTTTCAGAAAATGGAAATTTGTAAAGCAGAAAAGAGGAGAAAGAGAATAAAAATGTTTGTGTTCACTCATTAGTATCACCCTGCAACACAAATTAATATGATGCTTAAGTTCCTTTTGGATAATCTCTGTATTCCAGAAGGAAGTAACACAATTTCTTGATTAGTCTTTTTCAAATGTGCCTGGATAACTGACTCAGTCTAAATGGTTTTTCATAAAAATCAGCTATGTAAATAAGCCCACAAAAGTTGCTAGCCTGCAAAATCTTCATGTGGGAATGACAGTGGGGATTGTAGGAAGAAGAGGGAATTAATGAATTTCTCTAGTGAGAACCTCTGGTGGTTCTCAAAATCTCTCCAGATGACTTGCTTTTTGAACGTTGATTCTGATTTGCTTGCAGGGAGGTTATATGGAAATGAGCATTCATTCCGATTTGTTTGTGCAGTGTTTTTCCCATTAATCATTTATTGCATACCAGAAACCTAAATTTCTGGTATGTCCTTGGATCCCTCTCACAATATTCCCAGACTATGGAATGCTCTCCTCAGAAAGGTTTGCCTTGCACCATCATTAAAAGTCTTTAAGCGCCAGGCAAAAACATCCTCTTTACCTAGGCCTATGGCTACAGCCCATGAAAGTGTGAGGGACTGTTTTATTATTTGTCTTTCTGTCAGTATTCTTTTTACTATGCTTTTATTATTGATGTTCTGGAATGCATTTTTAATGTTGTACACTGCCCTGAGATCTTTTGATAAACGGTGGTATATAAATTGAAGTAACAAAAACTCAACCAATTATTACTAGTAAAAAGAGAAGTGATGCAGACTTTTTGGGGTGCGAATGGCACCCCGGAACGGATTGTGTTCGCAACTAGAGGTACCACTGTATTCCTGTTTGGGTATTTGTGGGCTTAGGGTTAAATAAATAAAGCTGTTCTCCCATTCCCTAGTTCCTGACTAAAAATACAGTATAGCACCAGACAGAAACCTTGGCTTGTGCTTGTTCCTAGCTAGCAAGAAACGCCAAAAACAACACCACCAAAACCCATCTCCATCAGTGGCAGTTTTCCCCTGCCCTCCAGCCCTGATTTTTTTCTAAGTTATTGAAGTGATGATTCACTGTTAAATTCTCTCAGATTGAAAAATATTAGAGGACAGGACCCAGATCTTTCTGCAGGGCCTACAGGTTCCTTATTGCCTGCCCTTCTCCTTTTATGCTGATCAACTGATTGTCTGACCCCCCCCCCCAAACCAAAAACCCTTTAGATGAAATATTGTCTACTGATTTTTGGCCTTGCTTTAGAGATATGTTCCAAAACAAAGCAGCAATAAACTGCCTAGTTTGCTTCTTCACCCAGAGTCAGTTTGGTAGCTGTTTACCGTGTGCTCTGCAACTGGCAGGATGGCCTGCTCAGTTCCCTCTGCCAGAGTATTTTGTACTGTCTGCAGAATCGAATTGCCAACCAGCAAAGCCTTTTCAGAAGGTTCTTATACAGTCTGTTACAGATTCAGTGCAGGCCTATGATTGGTCAGGACTATCTGACAGGCCGGAAAGGAGGAGTTGAGTGAGCAAAAGCCAAAGAAGCAATTATAAACTGATAGTAGTTCTCTGGTCTGGCTTATTAACTGAATCTCCTCTGCCTCTCATACCCAGCAGAAGCCCTCTGTGTTTGTGTTTGTTTGTGTGGAAAAGAAATAAAAATTGTGAGCTTAGCACACCTCCAAGAAATCAAAACATAAATAAATATGTTTCCATTGGTGAAATACTAGTCACTGAGTGTGCTGAGAGAGTGGTGCACTCCATGGTTTTGCAAGACAAGGACAAATTCTTTGTAGGGTTGCAAAATTACAAGAACACTGCTATGATCCTTGGCTGCGTATTCACTGCCAAACCCAGAAGTGGTGGCATTTAGAGGCTCATAATTCAAGTGCTGTGCTCCAAAGTGAAAGCAAGGCCCGACTATCCGTGGAAACAGAAAACTTCTACCTTTACTTCCATAATAATATGCCACCATTGGCTGCAAAAGAAGGAACATAGCGTGAAATATAGCCTTAAGGTGCTAACTTTAAATGTATTTACGAGATTGAAGTAGAGGAGAAGAGAGAAGTAGAGGGGGTTCTGGCCGTTTAAAAAAAGTGGTTTGGGCAATTTAAGTTCTTTTAAAACAAACATCTAGCATGTTTCATTTTTCCAACAGCACCCACCCCCCGCAAACTGCACATTTTGTGTCCAACTGCACACTAACTTTCCACCCAGATGAAATAAGCTCGCTGGCAATACAGGCAATAAAGATAATATAGGGATCCTACCCGTAGCACAGCAAAATTTAAGGGGAAGGCCGTATATACAGCCCAAAGTCCTATCAATAGGGTCAAATGGAAGTGGCATTTAGTGGCATGGGGGTTCTGGTATAAGAAAAGCCACAGGCGCGCAACGCATGGTGCCTGCAAAAGGCAGAAAGCCACTCTTCTGAAGTGGCAAGAAAAGAAACACAATTTGCTCGGGCCTCATTGGGCAATGGACCACAAACGACCAGCCGAAGGCGAGAGAGCAAACTGTGAGCAAAAGCAGCATTAAAGGCCTCATAGGCCTCTAAAAGACCACAGCCATGAAGCAGGCTCAATAAGACCTAGCAGAGATAGTGGAGATGTCGTCTTTGGTGCCGAGCTAACTGCAAAAGAGGCTGGAAGATGGCTCTGCGCTGACATGTTCCTGTGAGAGATAAACCTCTCACGGTGTTCATTCCTGAGGCAGGTGGAACAAGGCAGCTCCCACTGAAGCATATTCTCCAACATTTATCTGATGAAAATAGGGACGTTCTCTTCAATAATAATAATAATAATAATAATGGTAATAATAGTATTAATGATCATCATAATAATATTACTATTTATACCCCAGCCATCTGACTGGGTTGACACTCTGGGCGACTTCAAACATATATAACAACATAATAAAACATTAAATATTTTTAAAAACTTCCTGATACAGGGTGCCTTCAGATGGCTCGGGACATCCTACCATACCCTCCAACCAGTGTTTTTTTTGCTGGGGGAACACAGGGGTATGCATACCCCTAAACTTTTTGTGAATCTAAGTTTGGCCTCATTGAGGGGCAGTATTTCAATATGAGTACCCCTAAACATTTTTTAAGGAAAAAAAGCACTGCCTCTAACATTTATCCAGTGAAAACAGGGACATTCTAAGGAATAGTGGGACACTTGGAGAGTCTGAAGTTTTGAAGTAAGATTGATAAATTGGACCCCCCCTTTTTTTTAAAAAAAGAAGAAGCTTGGGGAAGTAGATAATACAATTCGTTGGGTAAAAAAATATGGTGCCGGTATTCTTACTATGATAAAAGTGTGGGTGCCAGCACAAAATGGCTGCCGTGGGCAGCAAAAATAAGGTGACAGTATTCCAAGTTGATTCTTTAGAGTGAGTCGCACACAGTAACAGAAGCAGCTGTGGATGAAGAGAGAGACTATATACAGAAGCAGAATCCTTTTGCTTTGTTTGCTCATCTGTAATATTTAAAACATAATACATTAGACATTAAAAACTTCCCAATACAGGGCTGACTTCAGATGTCTTCTAAAAGTTGTATAGTTCTTTATTTCCTTGACATCTGAAGGGTGGGTGTTCCACAGGGAGGGCGCTATTACCGAGAAGGCCCTCTGTCTGATTAAACTCATATAATCTATGACCTATGGACCTTGGCAGTGGAATTTGCTGCCAAGGAGTGTGGTGGAGTCTCCTTCTTTGGAGGTCTTTAAGCAGAGGCTTGACAACCATATGTCAGGAGTGCTCTGATGGTGTTTCCTGCTTGGCAGGGGGTTGGACTTGATGGCCCTTGTGGTCTCTTCCAACTCTATGATTCTATGATTAAGCAAGGCTCTCCTTTCGTAGCCTCAACACCCCATCTGCAATCTGGGAATAATAATACTGACTTACGTTACTGGGGTTTGGTTTTTTTGGACAATTTATATACTACTTAATTACAATCATTTCTAAGCGGTGACCATCATCTCTGAGGTGTGTTAGAGTGTTGTTATACACTGTTGTTACAAACAATCCAAAATAATCTGAATATACTATGTAATTGCTTATTGGTATTATTGCACTCTCAATAGCTTACAAGTTTTTAAATAAGAAGTGCATTTAAATATAAGAACTAAACAAATGTGGTAGGAGAAGTTTGCAGATGGGGTTTCTCATTTAAACTTGTCATTCTTCATAATAATAAAACAATATCTGTTCATACCTCACTTGTGGGAATGTCATTTCTGGATCAAGTTAAGATATTGGGGCCCACCATATAAATAGCTCAACTGGAAATAAATTAATGGCTTTTGTGATCAAATGGTTACTTGTAAAACTGGAGATTGCAAACCAGAGATTCTAAACTCTTTTCTTTTTTTTAACTTGCCTTGAAATATTATTTTGATAGGCTGTAAATTGTTATGCTCCTTGGTATTAAGCTATGTGTATTCTTGGATTTCAATTTCCATCAGCACCAGCCTGCACGGCCGTCCTTGGGAACGATGGGAGTTGCAGTCCAGCAAAAACTGGACTGTCAAAGGTTAGCTACTTTTGCTTTAAATAAAGAATGAAACAGCTATTTAGCCACTTAGCAAAAAGAAAAGGCATGAAGACTAGGATATCAAGATGAAGTGCCTTTCTAGCTGAAGAACTAAATATCAAATCTCCCCCTGAGGTCAATGAAAACTTCAGCCTATTTTAGCAGTGCTACGATTTCCCTTTGAAACTTCCTTTTTAACTGTTAGGCACTATAGAAGCAGACAGATAATATATGCCCTGTAGAGCTTATAATATGAAGACTGCTGTACACATTATACTTTTCACTAATGCAATCCCCTGTTGCCCTTGCATTGTTGTATAAGCTTGAAGTTAAATTTGGTTCTGGTGAATTCTATACACTACGTTATGCGGCTACAGAGTGGAAAACATAGCAGCCTCTCCATGCTACAGCAATTAAGTGGGGAAATCTATTGTATGGGCAAGCCTTGAGGCCACAGATCACCTGTATCCCCTGTGGTAAATTCTGCGAGCCCAAGAATCTCTACTTTAGGTACATGGTTTTTGGCAGGCAGCATGGCGGGGGAGAAAGTGGCCTTGTGTACAATAACCTGTTTCCCTGTTGAAATATACTCGGAGTCAAGAGTGGATTTCATGCTCTTTATTCAGCTCATAGTGGTGAGGAGGAATGGAAGTTCCCCCACAATATCTGCTTTATATACATTATTTACACAATGGGTTGCACGTGATTGGCTAATTCCGGGATTCTCCTGTAGGCCAATCAGGTTGTGGATTCACTTCCACCTGGAGCTGGATTGGGTGGCTCCTGCAGACCACTCATACTGCTGCATTGTTCTAGAACCAATCAGACTGCTGCATTCTGAATCCTATTGTTCTAGGACCAATCAGACTGCTGCATTTTGGATCCTATTCAACTCAGTACATAACCCCTGTTCATGCAGCTAAAGCAGTCCTATGTACCCATGGACTATTTCCTGGAAGAGGGCTAATTTTATCCTGATTTTTAAAAAGGATTTGGATGGTAAGAGTTATATGCTAGAATTGGTTTTGCTTGTAACTTAGTGAGAAACGCGGTAATTGGCTTGTTGTGGTTTCAGGACATTGATATGTGTATATTTTATAGAGCCCGAGGGGTGTAATGGTTAGAGTGTTGGATTATGACCTGGAACATCAGGTTTTGAATTCCCACTCAGCTATGAAGCTCAGTGGGTGATCTTGGGACAGTTGTTTCTCATTCTAGCCTACCTCACAAGGCTGTTGTGAGGATAAAATGGGGAGGGGAGAACCCTGTACACTGCCTTGAGCTCCTTGGAGGAAAGTGTGGTATATAAATGTAAGAAAATAAACAATAAATCATTTGCATGCGTATTTTGTTTGCAAAAATGAGAGTTTAATACACACTTTTATATGGAACTGGATCTTGTGAGTGGTTGCATTGTGCCAAAAACTGGGCAAAAATATGCCATCTGTATTGGATTCAATGCTATTTTTCTAGAAAAATAGGTGTTGGAACTCACCTTGAACTCTTCCCTTGTTCTCTTATAATAGCAATGGCACCCACCTGAGAGGTGCTGGAACTGAGTTCCAGTGAGTTCTGGCTGGGGAAAAAAGCCCTTATTAGATTGGTTAGTTAAAACCTGATCCATTGTAATAATGATCAAGTAACATACAGTAGTACCCCGGGTTAAGTACTTAATTCGTTCCGGAGGTCTGTTCTTAACCTGAAACTGTTCTTAACCTGAAGCACCACTTTAGCTAATGGGGCCTCCCGCTGCCGCAGTGCCACCAGAGCACAATTTCTGTTCTCATCCTGAAGCAAAGTTCTTAACCTGAGGTACTATTTCTGGGTTAGCGGAGTCTGTAACCTGAAGCGTATGTAACCTGAAGTGTATGTAACCCGAGGTACCACTGTATAGGAGACTTCCTATTATTATTATTATTATTGGCTTACAGCAGATCTAAAAACATAAAACAGATTCATGGAAAGCTGTTGACTATTTGTCAAGACTTGGAACAACAAGTACTATGATAACACACAACTTTATATTGTCTTTATTTTATTATAACTGTGCATGTCTGACTCATGTACACAATATGTAGGTTGTATATTTTTTTTATAAAAAATACTTTCAATAAATAATAAATACTATTATAACAACATGATTTTAGGCATTTGTGGCTGGTAATAAGCGACCGCTGAAGATGTTCCCACCTTCTGTACCATGTGTAGGGCCTCCAAACATGGTGTTTTATGGATCTTGGTGTTCCCCAGAGAGGGGTCCAATCTTGGGCTCCCTGGGTTGACCCAGCCTGGAGCTGGATTAGCTACAGGAATTGAAATGCAGAGATCTGCCAGGTTTTGAGCCCTGATCCAGAGCATATTTTCTATAGTGTTTATATTTACTTACATGTAAGATTGGCTTGTTAAGAAATTGAACTGCATCCTTCTCATATTAATTCTTACAAATCTGGCTGATGAAGAATTGGCTGACGAAGCATTGAACGAAACAGATTGGTTATCCAGAAACTCTGTTCCAGCGACATTTGGTGTCAGATTATGTATATATCGAACTTTTGAATTATTCTACCGCGGCTGGTGAAGAAGATTTAGAGACGTTGGTTGCAATTTCTGATCATTTGTATTAGTCTAATATAGTGTTTTGGACGCGGGTGGCACTGTGGGTTAAACCACAGAGCCTAGGGCTTGCCGATTAGAAGGTCGGCGG